GCAACAATGGACTGAATACAACAAGGAACAAGCTGAAAGATTTGGCAAACTATACAACAAATTCCAGCCCATGGGTACCAGAAATATCCATCAACACACCCCAGCTACCCCAAAGACAAAAGCTCATGGATAATATGCTGCAGCTCTCCGATCCCACCACCACCACCAACCGCAAAGTAATCAAGAACAAGACCTCCTCTCCAGCATCTTCCAAATCCTCAATATGATTAAGGAAGAAATTGCTGAAATCAAGGAAACCATCTCAGACCTCGACGAACGCATCACCAAGCTTGAATACTATAATGAAGATAGCATAGGCAACATGGAAACAGATCTCAAGACATCTTCACCCTCAAACTCTACACGACTATCATCCCCAAACCAAAATCAAGATATACAAGAGACACAATACCAACTTCACTCCTCTATTAATAAAATAGACCGAAACATGAACACCATCATGAATGCAATCTCCACCTTAATTCCAAACAATCCCACCACCCATTCACCTCACAATAATGGGGAACAACCAAAGTAACTCTGTGAACCCAGAAGTAACCTATGAGCAATCAAACAAGAACTCAACTCACACCACTCCCAATAATACCTTAGACATCCATTCACAAGACACACCTATACCAATCCCATCCACACTGACACAAACCCCCCACACAACACTCAGAACCAACATACCCAGCACAACTATACAACAACTCCAACTACACCGATAAACCTTATCTCATTATTACAACTCTTAACTGTCAAGGACTCAAAGATAAAACAAAATGCTCCATATGGGAGGAGACATAGACACAACAATAATGGGACATCATAATTTCAACTGAAACAAACCAGAACAATGATGAACAATACTGGAAAGCAAATGCATACACCATCTGGTGGGAAGGCAAAGGCCATAGCACTGGTGTCGGTATTGCAATTCAACACAACCTCAGAGACAGAGTCATCAATATCAATAGATACGAAGGCAGAATTCTGTACATTGATCTAGCCTTCCCTAAAAAAAGATACATATGAATCATAGGAACGTATCTACCTGCCACACCCAACCAGCAAAAGAAAAGATCAATGCAAACAATAACCAACCTGATTGCAAAAAAAAACAATGAGAACTGGCACATAATCCTAGCCGGTAACTTCAATGCATACCCAAACTGTCACAAAGACAAGTACAGCCCTACAAGAAGACATCACTCAAACAAAATGGAATCCTTCTTTGACAAACTCACTACAATGAACATGATAGACACGTACCGCTACCTCTACCCACACTCCAAAGAATATACATGGTCCACTAAATGGACAGTCAACTTTCCAAAAAGTAGAATATATGCAATATGGATCTCCTCATGTCCAACCTGATGCCTCATAGGCACATACATCACAGAACAAAACATAGCCACAGACCATAGGGCAGCCTCAACACACATAGAAACATGGCAACTCCAAACTCCTACCAAACATTTCTGTTACACCATAAATGCAACCAGATTCAACTGGGCAGCAACATCAGAACAGTCCTGGAAAAAGTTCGTAGAATCCATGGACTCACACATGCCCATCTGAAACCAAATGATAAATAAGGATGCAGATACCAACAAACTCTGGACCACTCTCCGCGACTGGATTCTAGTAGCAGCAAACAGCCATATTGCAAAATATAAAAAAAGAAAAAGGAAAAGAACAAAAAACATTTCTCCAGTAAGACTCATACTCCTGCTCCAACTAGCAGAAGCTAGGCACCAACTCAAGTACCTAAAGAATCACAATCCAAAGTTCAACCCATCCACCCTATCATCCCTAACTAAAAGTATACAAGAACAGATCCCTTCCCTAACCATCAAGAAAAGTGATAACCTTGACTTAACTATCAAAGAAATCGAGCAATGAATTGGCATCGAAAAACTCAAACACAAAAAATCCATTGACAACGAATCAGAAATAACATTCAAAAGGCAAGATTCAGATGCCAGAACTGGTTTGACACAAACAAAAAGCAAATAATCAGATTCCTACTCAATCAACCCAAGCGAAGCATCATAATCAATAAACTTATTAAAGAAATCCAAGATGAGAAAACAGTTATTATAGACCCTATGCAAATAAAACAAACAATCTGACAACACTTTGAAGATTGGACACACCAACGTGATATCAAAAATACTGAAGGCACCTTCTGGAACACAGAATATCAGCCCAAGGAAAATATCAAAGCTAGCTGGTATGATCCCACCATCCAGCCCTTTACTCAGGAGAAGATCCAAACCATTATCAGTAAAACAAGCAATAAATCTACCCCTGGTCCATCAAAAATACTATATATCACTTTCAAACACCCAACAAAGATAGCCTAACAGGCCTAACCAGATTTTTCAACACAATCCTCACCAAAGAAAAGATACCAGAAGAATGGAAGCACGGCCCCATCTATCCCATCCCAAAACCTAAAGACTGGAAGCACAACATAAATATCATCAGACCCATAACGCTATTAGAATCTATCAAAAAGATCTTTACTAAAGCCATTTGCACCCGACTATCAAATACACTAACCAAATACCACATACACTCTGAACACAACTGGGCTGCACTACCCCAACAAAGTACTAGGGAACCAATCACCATTATCAACGGAGTCCTAGAGGATGCTGGGGAAACACACAAATCATATTATATGCTCTTCCAAGATATGAGCAAAGCCTTCGACATGGTCAATATCAACTGCCTTATCCAAGCTATGCAAAGAATCAAAATTCCAACTAAAACTATCAACATAATTCAAAACTGTTTCACCAATCACGAAAACTTAGTAATCACATACTTTGGAAATACAGACCCCTACCCCATTCACGAAGGAATTGATCAAGGTGACACAATATCACCCAACCTCTGGTGCATTTACTACGACCTGCTTATCACCAGAATTAGCCAGATACCTGGATATAACCTCCGAACACATAGACAAGATCCTAACAGTCTCACACAATCAAATATAAATATCTCTATAGTAACTTACATGGATAACACAACCTTCATCACTCAAAATAAACAATACCTGGAAGACATAATCAATATCAGCAACTCCTTCTACTCACTAAACGACATTATCGTCAACCCCAACAAATCAGAACTCCTCATCATAAATGCCCAACAACAAAGTATCACTATTAAGGAACACACTATTGACCCGATTGACAAAAACAATGCCATCAGAGTTCTAGGGGTATGGTATGAAATACGACCAGGGAAAAAAACCCAGAGAAACCTAATATGAAAAAAAACCAACATGATTTGCTTCATGGCAGAAAGGAAACCAAGTAATGACAAGATGCATAAATATATAATTAACAATATCCTCTTCCCAACAATCGAATACCTAATTGGAGACCTAGTTCTCAATCAGCTTGAAACTCAAAAAATTAACTATAGGATTAAAAGAAGCATGAAGTATAAAGCCAACCTTGCAGCAACAATTCCTGACTCCATCCTCTACCTCAAAACACATTATGGCATTCATGACATCCAAACAAGACAACTTCAAAAACATGTAAGCACCTACAAGATTTCCACATAGCTCAAAACACTGCAGGACAAATTTGTCACAATAGGATTCAAAACCTACAATGGCTTGCATGGCAGAAGAACTTCATCTTGAAGAACTGCCCCACCTTTCTCAAAACAGGACACAACTTCTACCATGATGTCCTAAACAACCTTCAACAAAACCAGATAACTGCCTTTAACAGAACCAAAGACAACAACTCCAAGGATCAACTCCACCACATAAGTGAGATCACCGATAAAAACTGGTATCACACATATAGAGAAGCCCTGAGATGCCATCGTATCATGTACATTGAACAGACCTTAGACACCTACAAAACCAAGACTTTATTATGGCACCAGATAAGGGGACTACACAACAAACTAAACAAAAAGAAAGAATTCAGATGGTACTTCAACCTCACTTCAATCAGTTCAACCTTTCTTAAAAACAAAAAAAGTCCACAAGATATCAATGCATTTACCCAAATCGAATATGCTCTAACTAGTACTAGCACATCTGCCTGGTACTCAACAATAATCAATCAACAACTAGCAATAGGGAAAAGATTAAGTAGCAACAAAGAACAAACCAAACTCAGACATTACCAACACACAAACAACTCCCCACTATGGCTTGTAACAGCTGCGACCTAACAAACTCCAAGGATGGCAGAAGCAACATGTACTGTATTAACACTCAAAATAATAAGTTAGGCAAAATACCAGTCTCCAAAACAACTAAATCCAGAACCAACAATGAATCAACAAACATCTTCCGCACACAAATATCACCTGGAAGCATATCTACCTGGTGGCAACAACCCAATGATAACGTCGCTGCAGTAGAAATAGATTCAACCCCAAAGCAACTCCTTAAACTTAACCAACTAATAAAAATGCCTAAGACAACTCTTACTCAAATGGAAAATCTCATCTACAAAATAAAAACTCACAACAACCTTGACATATACTGTGATGGTGCCTTCAACCCTGCAAAAAACAACAAGAACCTGGAAATAGGCATAGTCCTCAAAGATCTCGGGCACCAACCAACATAAATAACAATTAGTATAGTAGCCCCAGGTTCTAGTACCACTGCATAACTTCTAGCAATCCTCATCGCTATCAACCTAGCCAACTACGGAAGCACCAACAACATCTACTGCGACTCCTCAATCGCCATCAAAGAAATCAATGAAGCTACAACTAAACCAATGAAAAAACGCAAATACACTAGGCTAGTTAGCACAATAATCAAAACAATAAAACAATAACACCTAAAAATCACATGGCATAAAATCCAACTAGACAACCCAGCAAAAGAACATTGCAGAGCAGACAAGCTTGCCTGGGAAAGCTTAGACAACAACATACCCAACATGATAGGCACTCTCACACATTACATCCCCCAAAAGGAACTTATAATCTTTAAACTTCACAATATCGAAATCCTCAATGACATCAGATAAACTATAGCAACAATACAACAGGCACAACATATCTGGGACTGGATCAACCTAAAAAGACACAAAGTCTCGACAGACAAACATAAAGAAGAAATAGATTGGAAAAACTCATTAACGAATCTTCATCCTTCCAACATAAACTCACCATCCTGCAACTCATGGAATCACAGAATCAGAATTTTCTCCATAAAAAT